ACTACTCCAACACTTCACGCTTACCACTTTAAACTATAACCCACGTGCCAGAACTCCACACTTAGCACTTCTAACCACATTCGCACAACTCTTATCTTAACCAACAATCCATACTTAGCAAATTCAACTTGAGCAGCAATTAAGTAGTCAGCGACCCAACTTCACCAAAACTCCACACTTCACACTCCATATTCAGTGCTCTTTTAAATTCAGCACTACGGACTACACCAACGTTCAGCACTCTTGACTATACCAACAATACATACTTAGCACCCTTAACTAGGGATAGGTACACGTTCAGCACTCTTAACTATACCAACAATACATACTTAGCACCCTTAACTAGGGATAGGTCCTACTCTATTGGACCCAAATATAGCTCCCGGCCCCCAATCTAACTATACCAACAATACGTACTCAGCACTCAGGATTCTTGGCACGGCCCTAAGAACAATAAATTCAGCAGAGGTTGAATGATGAATACAAAATTGGATAAACTAGGCATGTGCTTACATAACACATAATGCTTGAATGACTTAAATAAAACGTACATCTGCATCTGTCATCTTCGTTGGGTATATTTTAATGTCGAAGCGTGTAAATGTAATAAATGTTAGAATTTATTTATTTATTTATATGCAAATTGTAATTTTAAATGCAACAGGAAGCGTACGCACGTTACATGATAACCTCCGTATATTACCGTGTTCCGTATTCATGAAGCCTACTCAAGAAATCAGGCCAGGGCAGTAAGGCAGGGGCACTATACTCACGGTAGTATGTTGGCATTATTAATAGCGTCTCTTGTAATTAATGTAAATCATGACGGCAGCATGTGGGAACAATTGTAAACAGGTGGAACAATTACTCTAGACACGACATACATATTGAGCATGAAACAAGGCCGGCCGCGACTTCCAGTGATCATCTCCGTTTAAATGTACGGTGTAAATAAATAAAAATCGGTGTAAACAAGGCGGGGATAGGATCACTTCTAATTTTTATGGGCGGGAGATGGGATCATGCCTAACTTTTACTGCTCCCTGCTTTAACTAGTCAGCTTTACAGTGCTCACACGTAACAGTAAATAACGTGACGTGACGTCACAGTAAATAACGTCACGTATGTCACAGCAGACTAATTACAATGTAAATGACAGTTGTTTTAAAAAGTGTATCATTTCACCAACCTTATTAAACGTGTCACGCTTGATCGACTCTGAGCGGAGAGCCTAAAGCTTTAGACACTTGTTGATAGTGAACACCCTTCTAACGGGGAGAATGCATGTTTGTAGAGAGTGAACACTCCCCATTCTACCTAAGGTTCGAAGTCCTACAAGCTGCCACCTCTAACGAGACCACTAACTGGTGTGCCTATGGTGGCTCACCTCGACATACTACCGTTCAAATTTCATCTCAGTCGTGAAACTGTTGCCACTGCCACACGCACCGCTCCAAATAGTTCTTCAGCTCTCTCCGGTTATTTGTTATGTTATATCCGGATACTTTTAAATTGTATGTATCCTGCCACAGTGAGCCTGTCAAACAACTATTTTCATTGATTACCGTGACGAGCTTTAATAAATAAATTAATTCTAACATTTATTACACACTTTAAATGATGAGCAGAAATATGTTTAAGTTTCTAGGGTGTTATCTTGACATCGATACAGGTTTTCATTCATGCTGATTGCTGAACATAAAATTATAGTAATAGCGTAAAACGTGACTTTCCTAACTTCAACGCGAATATATGGCACTGGTTAAAGTTAAGGTTAAACATTAACTTGAAGTCACGAATTTTAAATCATGGTTCATTCAAGTGTGAAACATCGCTAAGTTATATAAATATGTAGCAACCTTCAACAAGCTTTTTATAGAGAGCTTTAATCTTAACAAGTCACGCTTGGATGGCTTAAGCATGTCTTTATTGGGTGTGTATTTAGAGTCGAAGCGTGTTATAAATACTCGAAAAAATATTATTAGAATATAGAAGAATTTATTATACTACTTCTAGAATTCATTTTGTGGAATAAACAGCATATTCGCGAAGTAGTTCCTGATGGTCATCTCTTCTGCTTTAATCATAATACAAGTATCCGAGTAAGTTGCTTGGAAAACACCCACTGCACATGAGGCCTGAAAAACAAAAGTAAAATACTGACGGATTACCTAGGAGAAACATGGAAAGATGTGTATCAGGTGTCTTGACCATCCATCCTATGCGCGTTAAGTGGTTCAATAGCATAATTCCAGCTAATAATTAATCCTAACAATAATTATATTCACCTTGAATAGCTTGAGCTGAGAGTGTTTCGAGTAGGGCTCTAACATTTTACAGAACTGACGTTTATAGGCCATCTCTATGTATGAATCAGAACAGTTATAGCTTTATAGTCAAAAGAGTCAGATGATATCATGGTATTGAAGAATGAAGACCTAAAGTGAGCCTTCCAACCATTACCATCGTCACTGGTCAAGAAACTGACAAGCGTACTGCGTAATCAGGCTTAAGATTTTTCGCTAGCCCGTCGGCCGTCGGGCTTTTAAGTACCTACTACTTGCTCAACTAATCACAAAAATTAGAGTTGGCATTACGCCAGCCAAGCTTATTTGTATCTTTATTAAAGAGAGTAAATCTTAATACGCAACATTATAAGAGTCGACAGGAGGCCGGAATAAAGTATTTTATGAGCCAACAATAAAGCGGGCCTTTAGAAATTATACCGAATACAAATTGGCCCCTGTATAAAGTATGTATAATATCGAGTAAGACGAGTATTTTGGGTATTTCTGTGCACCTGTGTCCTGTAGTTAAGAATGTGATATCACTACACAAAGTGATTGACAAAATGTCACAGCTGTCACCTATCAAGACGTATACACCACGCACATCACAGCTGGAACTCGACCGTCAGTCAGGTCAGGAAAACGCAATTCTTTTAATCCGGAGAAAACTCCTCTCTAGCCAGGTCAGGAAAACGCAATTCTTTTAATCTGGACAACACTCCTCTCTAGCCAGGTCAGGAAAACGCAATACTTTTAATCCGGAGAACACTGCGACTGCTATCTGTGATTGGAGGCAGCATGTTACTCCGACTCTAAAACATGTATCACATCATGTACACATTGTGTTTCTATCTCGACTAAACTACTCCGAAGTAGTCACCGTGGTGTGAACAATTTGACAAGCTATAAATAATCGGAGAGAGTGTCTGTGTAAGTGTAGTAGTGGAACTGGGCCGGTGTAGTAGTGGAACTGGGCCGGAACATGAATTATAATGTTCGGGGGAGGATGACGTCAGGGTTGGAGGAATGTAGAGGAACCACGTGATCAGCGGAGAATGACAGCACTTCACAATTCACTTGACACGGTAAGCTAGGCTCCTGTTACGGTTAAGTCTCCCCTAACCCAACAATAATTGGAGCGTTTTTTAACACCTTATTTTCCACAGGCTCGGTACACACAGAAAGGACAATTCGGACAGTAATGATAATTAATCTTAAAGCGCTTAGTAATATCTAAAAATATGTGCTGCTTCACACAGATCCCCGAGACCGAGCCGGCAATGCCAGCTCAGTCTGATAATGCTTGATAGGGCCGGAAAAGCAATGCGAGCTGCTTTCTCTCTCTTGCTCTCTCTTGCTCTCTCTCTCTCTCTCTCTCTCTTTCCTTTCTCTCTCTCGCTCTCTTTCTCTCCGATAGTATATGTTCAGAGGGAAAACCTTTGATGTTGGGATACGTGAACCGGCGCAATCTCTCAATATTAATCAGTGATAAAATCATACACAGGACACAATCACAAATTATACGTTTACATCGGTTATGAAGCAAGTAAATGAGGGTAAAATTGGGGGCGGGGCACACGGAGCAGGAACAAAACAGTCCTCATTGAGCTCATCTCACATGATGATAAAATCATTCTAATGACTTCAGGAACATTAGCAAACCGTTTAAACAAACCGTCGTCTCGTGCAAGACAGTGAGTTTGACTCTAATTTTTACTGGCTTCCTGGGAAAACTTTATAACTTTAACGAGGGTCAATATCCCCTGAAACTTGTTAACACTGTATTGACAGGTCATTATACCCTCTAAAATATCGACAGTGTGCAGTTCTAGAGTTGAGTGCAGTAGCTGCGTCGTCAGCCGGCCTACTGTAATAAGTATTCCCTACGTCCCAGCTAGCTGCAGAGTACATTCCCAACGGATACAGAGTTGTTAGTTACAGTTAAACCTAACGTTACACTATCATGTCAGGTCAATGTACACAGCTCAGGACACATTTTGAATTGTTGAAATGGTGTGCGTGTGTGTGTGTGATGAAGTAATACTAATAGCTCCGAAATTAATGACTTTATATGTAGAGTATTGTGGTGTTTGATGTGTGCGGGCCAGTGAATGTACCAGTATAATTACTAAACTGTCTTAAGTTTGATTGATTCTATTGATGGTGCTATCAATCGGAGATAAAGCTCGAACTGAGCTGGGCATCTTAAGATGCTAATTTAAAATATGTCAAGGATAAAATTACAGTCCTGGAGCTCTCTTTATCGACATTCACTCCGTCCAGGATCTCAGAGCGGCACATTGCAGACAATATATATATATAATAATTACAATATATATATATATTATAATGGACCTGTCATGATCAGGACAGTAATTTCGCAACCAAATCGTTCAAACTTAAACGGACGGTCCAATAAACAAGTATTTGGATCTGACCAAGTCCACTTTTAATATGGTGCTTATTAGTGGAATTGTGTGGCGTTCATTTTCTGAAGCTTTAGAGCAACATTTTCATGGCAAAAGTTGTTCTGCAGAAGAATATTCTCACTCCAGTTTTCTGTTATTTAAGTGCCAAGGAGCCAGGCGTATACATATCTATGGAAATAGCTTTACAGATACACATATTGTTGTGAACCAGAGAGTTACCATTACTTTTAAAATATCTAAGTTCTATTCAACATTTTACAATTTACTAATAAAATGTACTGACCTTTTTAATCTCGTTCGATCATCCAACTGACCAGATCTGCAGTGAAATGGATGTGAAAACAGGATTACTTTAAAATAAAAAAGCAATCGGGATGTCTAAAATTTTAAATCCTGACGTTAACTCAATTATTACAACTTATCTATTTAAATCAAGAGAGTTCACAAGAAAATCGACTTACTTTTTACTCGTTGAGTTTGATTTACAATTCGTCGATCCTGTTGGTGAAGGGACAGAGCTTTTATTGGCAGACATTTTCTATATCATCACATTCCTAAAATAACTTTTTGTTACGAATTGAGTGTTAGTTAAAGAAAATCGATCCATCTAATAACCGGATAACAATTCAACATGAAGAAGAATAGCGAAGGATGAAATCATATTTTATGTGATATTCCTAGACATATTTACCAACGTTCAACACTCAACCGAGCCTGGTGTGGCCTTGCACATGTAACCAGCAGTTCAGTTTAAAATTAATTTTCCGAATTAAGGAAGCTATGCCATTAGTGTTTCAATACCACAGTACAAAAGCTGGAAATTAAAAAATAATTGAACTAGCATCTAAATAGAAACACGTACACTTTATACAGAAGATAATCTATATTATAGACGGAATTCTTGCCATAAAATTTTCCTATTCTACATATGCATCAATCAGACACACAAACTTCCAAAAATATTTTGGAAGATTAAAATTTCAAAATTTTAGTAGGTAAAGTAAATTTAAATTAACCAAAATACATTGGTTTATCAATTTAACAGAGAATATTATACCCACAGCAAGATAGCAAAATCACGAAAGTAGAAATAATATGATCAAAATTCAAAATCCATGCGCCATGTGCTCCTGGGGGGGGGGGGTCAACCTCATTTTACCTCATTTTACCTCATCCCAATTTTGCCTTTTTTGGCTGGCCTCGTGAGGTAAAATGAGGTAAATCTCGGCAAAAATTTTAACAGGTAAAATTCTCTAAATCGTCAATTTAGTCACGAAGGAGTATGGAAGGAGTTCTAAATGTGTGCTCCGTTAATATAAACAGTAAGAAATGGTTAACTTTAGTCGAGGTCTCAGGTCTCTACAATGTCGGGAAGTTCCTGCAGGAATTTGCGCATTGCGCTTGAAGCGCAAGATTCACAGCGCCAAAAGCGAAGGTCGTAGAGACATGAGACCTTGACTAAAGTTAACCATTTCATACCATTGCTATAAGAGTATGCCACTTTCAGAGTCCTGAACACACTCCCATATCTCTTAATCGTCAATTATATGAATTTTACCTGTTAAAATATATCATCTTTTACTGATATCATTTTAGTTTAACACTGTTAGTTTTAAAAAAGAAAATAATACTTCACACCAAACTAACACACAATATGAGAATATAAAAAGGAAGGTTTTCTTGGTGACCTGGATCGAGCATCAAAATAGTGTACATTGCTACTGTCATTGTCAAGACTGAAGAATAAGAGGGTCTAGTTGTGGGATTATGCTGGATAACAGATATGATAAGTGGTAACATCCTACAAAAGAATGTTAGCTTACTAAAGAATTTTCCTCTTACCGAATCATACAAGAAGTTAACTAAGCTCCTCCTAGTCCTAAGCATTATCTTGTTTCAGAGGGAATGAGTGATTTAAAAAGATGAGGCCGAAGAGTTAGTTGTGAAGAAGGCATTTGTACTCTGTAATTTCTAAGCTAATTTTTTTCGATATTTTTAGCTATTTACTGATCTTGTCTTGACGTATCAGTAAGAGATCACTGGACCTCGTTTGCGTTAGTTGTTAGTCATGTTATGCTGATCCAGTTAGTGACGAGCTATAAAGTAATCATTCGACCTCATTTAATACTGATCCTATCAATGACGAGCTATGTCTACCTTAATTGGAACTTGCTGACTGCATTGGAAAATGGAGAACAATCGAGAAATGATAATCAGTGCCAGGATATAATCAAAGTTGAATTTGGAATCCAAGGAAAACCTTCCTTTTTTATATTGTCATATTGTGCGTTAGTTTGGTTTGAAGTATTATGTTAAAAACAAAAATTAACAGTGTTAAACTAAATTGATATCAGTAAAAGATGATATATTTTATCAGGTAAAATTCATATAATTGACGATTAAGAGATATGGGAGTGTGTTCAGGACTCTGAAAGTGGCATACTCTTATAGCAATGGTATGAAATGGTTAACTTTAGTCAAGGTCTCATGTCTCTACGACCTTCGCTTTTGGCGCTGTGAATCTTGCGCTTCAGCACAATGCGCAAATTCCTGCAGGAACTTCCCGACATTGTAGAGACCTGAAACCTCGACTAAAGTTAACCATTTCCAACTGTTTATATTAGAGGAGCACACTTTTAGAACTCCTTCCATACTCCTTCGTGACTAAATTGACGATTTAAAGAATTTTACCTGTGAAAAATTGGTGAAAAATATGGGCGTGGCCCAAGTCAGTATTATACGAAACCGTAGAGATACAAAAAATTTTTTTGGTTGTTCCCGACCCTATAGAGCAACTAATTAGAGGTGATATCTAATTATTTGAACGAAATGTGGTTTTGTGAACCGCCCTTTATTCTACAGCGAATCATGAACATTGAACATGTACATAAGAACTTAGAATTGTATGAAGTATGAGTTTATATGAGTAATTTATTATAAAATTACCTTTCACTATGCAATTTCGACTAAATTCATGTAGATATCCAATCCAGTTCCATGCACAACTGTTGTTTACATTTGGTCTAGTTAGACACAATTTGTTTCAGAGTGACTCGATAATCGCAATATCAAATTAAGATATTATTTAAATGGTCCATGTCATGCAATGCAGAAATATCCTTATAAATTGGCAACTGCCAAAGTGACACTAAAGTTATTGCTAATTCCTTTAAAAACTTAGCAAGTGCTATTTACAATATCCTAATGGATCATGGGAATTGAAATGTTCAATTTTCTTTTCATAAATAATAATTATAATGCGAAGTTTTATTTACCCCAAGTTTGGAGAGTAAGTAGGTTAAACTGGGAATGCCCCTTCCCAGGGACCACATCACCCCTAATAAACCATTAAATATCATGGGAGACCATGCACAGCCTCGAATTATAGTATAATGACTTCGAATAAACCTTTTTTGTCTCTAAAAAAAGGCTTAGAAGACTAGATTTATTTACCTCATTTTACCTCATTTTACCTCATCCCAATTTTGCCTTTTTTGGCTGGCCTCGTGAGGTAAAATGAGGTTGACCCCCCCCGCTCCTCCTTCAAACAAGGTAACACACACCTCACATAATTGAAAATAAAAATTTATGAAGAAACGGGAATACTATTTTATTTTTGATAGAAAAATGAACGTTTGAGCATTCCCACGTATGAAAGCTGTGAATAGTTGATACGTGTGATGACTAAAGTGTGGGATTTTTTTCATTCTTGGTGACATTTGGGTTGCAGTTGGTCATTTTGATTTTACCCAAAAGTGTTTAGGTAGTTAGCAAATACAAACAAGGGCAAATAAAAAATGAACTGGAGACCACCTGCACCATGGGTATTGGGTAGACTATAGGAGCCTTATACATACTGCATAGTGACATCCCAGAAGTACAACGAGTACAATTAGCCATTACACCAGTGCAAATCAGATGAGAAATAGAAAGGTGCATAGCTACCATGGTAACAGTGTTCAAAAGCGCACATGCAAAATTTCAGATCTCTAGAACCCAAATTTAACATGGTTTTTAAGGCACCTGAATATGGCGATTTTGGGTTTTTTACCGAAGTGCTGGCTCGTATTTTGCGCAAATTTCTTAAAAACCTCCACAAACTATTTCTTATTCCTGTCATCTTTGATGCCTGAAAAACAGTAAAGGGGGTATAATAGTATAGGGGGTAAATAGTATAGTGAGTATAATGACGGCGGTCGTGCTTGCCATCACTGTGATTATTATTATTTAAATACAATTAATCTAGGGCTATAATTCTAATTATACCCAATCATGGGGTTAAACTGAAAGTTGAAAAGTAGTTGAAAGTAGTACATTCTCACATTTCTTGTGCTTCATCCTATGTGGGAGAGGAGTGTAATTTACCGTACTTTATAATCCAATTCTATAAAAAGCAGTACTCAGTGAGTACCTGGGCCGGGGTGCCATTGTCTCACGTCACAGTACTTGACTTTGCACTTGTTAAATCAAGTCTCAGCTACTATAGTAGTTGTAAAACACACAAGCACTTTCAGATCCACTTAAACGAGGAGAAGACGATTTCATCCGAGGAAACTCAGTCCAATGATACCATCTAGAGATATGTATTTGGGGTCCTAGGTAAGGCAAGAATTATACACAATTTTGTGAAGTAAAAGAACCGACTGTTGATCATCGAGGGTGCTTTAGAAAAGCTTTCAGGTGATATGTGTGATATGTTAATGATTTACAAAACGACCTGTTGTGTCTTACTTTAAAATTAACATGTTGAAAGTTAGTTTTTTCGACGGCAAACTTGCTTCTGGTTTCGAGTGGTTTTGCTTTTGATACGTTCAGATCCTTTCCAGGCTCCAAAATATCGTCTGTATCTCTTGTTTATAATAAAATAATAAAACAACTTTTTTTTTTGTAAACTGTGTCGAGACAATCAAACTGTGGTAGCATTAGAGCATTCGCAAGCATTTTACGATATTTGATAGGTAGTAATCCCTTACATAGCCCCAAATTCTTTTCATAATCTTCGTTTTGATGAAATCGATATGGAATATGAAATTTAACTTACTTAAACAAAAATAAATGTGGGATTAGAAAAGATGACTTATTTTACCTTGCACTTTGGCTCACTACAGATGGAATTATGGCAGAAAGTCAGAAAATCACTGCGATTGAAAAGCTTCAAATGCCAAAAGATATCACTGGAGTGAAAAGGCTTTTAGAAATGGTTGAAAAGTTCAATCCCAAGCTATTCGAAACCACAAAGCCTATACACCAGCTGATAGAAAAAGGGGCAGATCTCAAAATAACAGACGAACACAAGCAAGCACTCAGACATTAAGAAATCATAAACAATGAACTGTTCCATCTGGTCCAAGTCGTGAAACAAAGACGTCAGCAGATGCATCAGGAGGCCTTGGAGCAGTATTACTCCACAAATATGACAATTCTTAATTGCCCATCTGTTATGCCTGTCGGAGCATGAGCATAATAGTGAAAAAAAATGGTGTGCACCTGCAAATTGAAAAGGATTGACAAGCTCAGGTCGTTGCTTGAGCAAGATTCCACCATGGTACGTGTGTGGGACTGGGAGGACCTTC